AGAGAGAGAGAGAGAGAGAGAGGAATTGCTTGAATGCCTCATTAAATTGGGTTAAAATGAGTGAAAAGCATAGAAAAGTAGACATAAAAGGGCGAGAGATATACGCGGAGACCAATGAGTAATGAATTATTATTTATTGTGTAGTTTTTTATCACAAAAAATTTTCAAACAGTTCTTAAGGTCAACAGTTTAACAGTGAAATTATTTTTGATTATAAAATATTTAATACGGTATATCCAACTCAACAGTTATTATATAATTAAATATCTTACATATTATGTCTTTAAAAATAAATATCGTTTAATTTTATTAAATAAAAAGTTTCAAAATCTATGTTTTATGTTTAACACTTCTAATAATTTTATTTTTTAGAAATATCTACTTATTTTATTAATTCAAATCTATAATACTGTATATTACCAAATATTCATTAGATTTAGTAGTATAAGAGTGCTTAATAACTTTGAGGTTATTGTTTACATAACAATAGGGATATTACAATAAGGATTTAATTTTGTGAACACATACAGCATAATAATAATCAGTCAGTTTTTGATTATTTTAGAGCAATAGTGTAAACAATTTGGTTATTGTGTCGATATTTATCAATAAAAGAAAGTTCAAATATTTTTTTAACTTTTTATGTGAATATAAAAGAGAAAGTTTTTTATGTTTCAGTAATAAACTTGAAATTTGTCTCTTTTCTTAAAAATTGAATGTATTTTTAAAAATTTATTTTATTGTTTTTCGGCTCTTTGTTTGAGATATCTATTAATTTAAGGCAAACCTTGTTTTGAAAATAGCATTTAGAATATATCATTGAAAACTATACTATTTTATTCACAAAATAAATGCAAATCAGTGTTCATTTAGTTTTAATGGCCTCTAAAGGGTTTGACAAAATATATTCATACAATAGATTTAAGGAAATTATAATTTTTAGTTATAGTCAGGAACTGCTTATGACTTTTGTTACACAAACCTATTATAACCAACTAATTGATCGCTTGAGTTATACAGTATTATAAACTAGTTAACAGTATATGATAGATAATAATTATGCTTTTGAATATTTAGAGTTCATAATAATTTTATTCTTTAAATCTTTATTATTTAAATTTCATTTAATAAATTGATATAAATATTAATATTTTAAATTAATTTAATATTCATTTCTAAATAAAGATGGGAAGTGCCCTATAAGTAGAAATATTATAAAACATTGCAAAAAATAATTAATTTCTCTAATCTTGCGTTAAATTCATTCAAAAACTTGTATTTATGTTAATACAAAACTCTCTCTCTCTCCCTCTCTCTCTCTCTCTCTCTCTCTAGAAATTAATTGCTAATTGTGTTTAAAATTTAAAGATAAATCTTTTTAAAAAATAAATACAAAAACTGTGAACAATTATTTTCAATTATCGTTTGTTAATTAAAAATAAGGAATGACATATTTTTTGTCAAATAAATAAAATTAAATTTCCTTATAACTTATTTTGTTAGAAAATCAAGTACATTAAAATATAATCGGAAATAAACTTTAAAGTATATTTTAGATTTAAAAATTATTAATATTAAGCATTTAAAAAATTTATTATTTTGCATTTTTGCTTTACAGTAATGTAACAAATTGCTTTAAATATCATATTACATCATATAAATAGAAATATTTTGATTATTTGTACATTATAAATTAATTTGTTATAATTTTTAGCTGTGATCTTGAGTGAATATAAATATAAGGTGCCATAAATGAGATGACATGTTTGATGTGAGATGAAACTTGTAAGATGCCATAAAGTATAATAGTTATGAAATAATAACTTAATATCTCATAACCAAATTAAGAATTTTAAGCGTTATTTAAAAATCATAAACAATTTTGCTCAATTTTAAGATATTTAAGACATAATGAAGTGTGACTTTTTTTTAGAAAGTTTCCAGTGATTTAAACAACATGTCATAAATTTACAGTACTGGTATTATGTATAAGTTATACAATATAACTCTGTTTATAATTGAAATGCGTAATCAGTTAAGAGTGTAATTATACAAAATGTAAAATAAGATAACATTTGAACTAAGTTTAGAAAATACAACAAAAATCTTCCGTTTCTTATGACAGGAACTCTAAACTTTTGGATTACATTTGAAAATAAATTAAATTAAAACCTTTTATTAGGTTTATTAGATGTTAAGATTAAACTATAAAGTTATTTTTAAAAATAAATTACACATTGTATTTCGGTATACATTATCTTATTTATTAGGAAACATTCATAACTTATATTTTTGTGGATATATTACTTACAACTACAAAATTATTGTACTAACAGTAGACTAATGTGACATATTTGCAAATTAAGGAATAAATATTCATAAGAAATATTGTTTATAATAATAATCAATTGGCAACAAATTGGTGTATATACCGGCCTATTTTCTACGCTCTAGCAATCAATTTTTGTTTTACCTGTAAATTTTAATTTTATTTAAATTTTATAGTGTACTGGACATTAAATTGTTATTTTTTATATTTAAACAATAACTTATTTATTAGCTATTAAATAAAATTATATAACGCTATAAAACAAAAACTAAATTGTCTATTGAAATTAAATTGATAGTATAAATTGTTGAAATTGTAAAGTTTGTTAAATGATTGATATCTATTTTAAAAGATTTCAAATAGTAAATTCTTTAAATTTCATTACTTTTATTTATATTTTTATTTTGTTTTAATAAATAAAAATATGCATTATGATACAATATATTAGGATAATTTACATCATTTCTAAACCAATTACATAACTTTTGAACATTAATATAAATTGTTTCATTATGTGCTTAATGCTTTTAAAATTAGTTTAACATTATAATTCACAGTTAAATGGATTATCGTAGACATACGTATTGTTTACTGTAAACAATTCAATGAAATTATAATACTAATTGAATTTATTGAATTAAAATTTGAATAATAAGTGATTGATTAGATATTCATGATAATCACGTTAAATAAACATACATTTAAATGTTTTAGTTTTGCTATAATTCTTATCATTTGATTCAAAAAAATATAATTAATATTATAATGAAGTATTAAGAAATAAATGTTAAGTAACTCCATATTTCATTTAAAAAGGATTATGTAATATACCATAAATTAAATTTTTACATAAAAATAAATTTAAAAAGACTAGATGAAAGACTAGTTTAATTAAGATATTAAGATAAAGTGATGCACAAAATAAGTCAAATGTATTAATCTTATCATAATATCTGTTTAATTAAATTTTAAAAATATAAAAGAAATTTCTCACAATTATTGTCACATATTTTAAGTCAGAATTTCATAATAATAATAATAATAATAATAATAGAAAAACAAACAAAAACTTAAAATAAATTATTCTCTGTTTATAAAAATAGTTAATTTTAATACAGAAACTTTCATTCATATGCAAAACACATGAATAAAATTATTTTTTGCGTTATTTTATTCAAAGTAAATTAACTTAATTTTATATAAGAATCACTTTTTCCTGTTATTGTTTTATTCACGATATAATAAAATATTTAGACATTTAAATAATAAACAAAAAATTGATTGAAACGAATGTGGAGTTAAGTAATGTTAGCTTTTTCTAATCAGTTATTATAATCTTTTGGTTAAAATCACCAAATTGTTTCATTTCCTAATCAACATAATATATCATTTCAAATGAAATTACTTTAAAATTGTTGCAATTTTACTCTAATTTTTAAATGAGTTTTGTCTCAATATTTGAGAGACACACCTGTGATCTGTATGTTACTTATTGGACTAATACCTTACGTATTAATATACAATTTTTTGTAGATATTTTATTTGTACAAATAATTTTTTGGATAGATTTTTAATTGAATAACTTAGGAATTATAAAACTTTGTATAATTTTGCCCTTTGTATAACAGTGTCTTTTAACCTTTTGGTAAAAATTATAATTATAATAGCAATCAAGCACTCTTAGCTCGAGTTAACTTACTTTAAAGTCTAAAGTTTTGACTTTCATTAATTTTATATAGTTATAATCTGGTAGTTTAAAGTGATTATATGGTTAAAACAATAATTAAAATACTCATAAATGTTATAATGTTATGTATAACATCACAAATTAAACTGTAAACCACCTGTCCATTAGACAGTGACCATTAGGTTATGCGGTGGTTTGTCATGAAATTCAAACATTAACTTATCCTTGAATTGCCAATTTTAATAATTTACTATTATTTTGTATAATTGCAAATAATTTAGCGGATAAAATCATTTCATTTATAAAATAATTACAAAACATTTTGCAATTTTTATTTATTTTACATTTTATATAATTATTTGGTTTAATAATTAAGATCTGAATATCTGTTTCTGTCGGTGAAATAGTTTCTCCAATAGAGGGTATTTGGGTCCTCTTCGACCATATACTTAATGTCGGGCACAGTCCGAGGTACCGGTGCTTCTACGGGCACAGTGTAAGGTACCGGTACTTCTACGGGAATAGGTTGAGGTACCGGCGCTTGTATGGGCACATAATGAGGCGCCGGTGGTGTCTCTATTGGCTCATTGGGCTCGGACTGTGCGGACAATTGTGAGGCCTCCATGACGTCTGCGGGCGGGCGCGCGAAGTATGGCTCCGATGAGAAGCCATTGGATGTAAGGCTTGTGCTCTTCCAGAAGTGTGGGTCCGGAGGACGACATTTGGTGCCGTCTTTGCAGAACTCACGACCAAATGCTTTGATAAACCCATAGCCTATTCATTGCAATCATTGGTACGGATTAGACATAAGTTGTACCACTTATCGCAATACCTTTCTCGTGACTACTACTGCCATCGGTGTCGTACCCATAATCTATGCCATAGCCGTGACCGAAGTACTTCCAGGGACCTAATATATAGATATATAATATTTATTATTTATTATTTTATCTAATTTAAAATCTTTTTAAAATTTATTCATCCAATTGAACGACTATTTTGACGGAAATTTATAATAAATAATCAAAAATATAGTTAACTTTATATAAAATTAAAAATTATAATTTACTTGTAAATATATATATCACATACAAAATATACAATAAGTCATAAATAGTTAGCATACCTCTGCCATAGTAGTGGATGGGGTCGTGATATGCTCTGTGGTCATAGATTTTGACCCTAACTTTAGCACATAAGCAGTCGTTTATTGGTTCACTTATCACTAGAATTTGTATTAATGTTGATATTAATGGCAATAATTTGATACAACGTCTCGTTTCCATCACTTTTATAAAGTTTTTAACCAATCAAAATATGACATTAAATTTAAAGTATCTCGATCAAAAATATTATTATAAACTTTAAAAGTACTATTTGTGTATATAATTCACAATTTAATATATTCCGGAGTGAGTACTACTCGTGAAGTTATACACACTTTGTATTTATGATGAAAAAACAATTGAAAGTCTCTTGAGTGTGGAGTAAAAATAAAAAATGATTACATTTTCATAAATAATTTATTTTGTTGTTGTTTTTCATGTGAGTTGACGTGAATGAGAACAATGAGAACATAAAAATGTATTGAATTTTATGAATTCAATTCACGTTTATATAACAAATATGTAGCAAATGGGAGAATCGATTGAATATTTGCACACAATATTGAAACACAAATATTCTTTAGTATGGTATAAGCCGGCGATTATTATAATATGAAAATCACAATCATATTATTCACAATTATATTTAATCACAACAACATTTGTTTTTGTTTTTCTTATCAGACAAAAAATGTTTAAAAATCTAAATATTAGATCAAATGCAGTGATATTACACAACGCCTATGCTCTCAGCTATAAATCAATTTTCATAAAAGCATTTAAAACAGTATTCAATTGTAATAATAAGTTTGATTAAAACTTTTGATAAGCGATTAATTGAACAAAAAAATCAAATTAAAAAACAATTTTTACTATTGAAAGATGAGTTGACATTCTTATAGCAAAAAACTTTTTAAACTCTTATTTTTAATTTAATTTATTATAATATTTTGTCACATAATTAACACAATGATTGAATACACTTTTGAAAAGATATTTTTATATAACACACAAAGATTATTGAGAAAAACTTTCAATTTTTAAAAATCTGATTCAAAGTAAAAGTTAGAGAAACCTGTTATTTAGGACTTCATAGCTGCGAGTGTAGTGTTGTCTATAATATTGTCTGATAGTAGAGTAACAATAGGTAATAAGTGGGATATATTTACTCAAATAGAAAATTAGAGTAACAAAAATGTATATAACAATTATCTGTTTTAAAATTACATTATATTTATAACAACATAATAAACATTAAATTTATAACAGTTGTCGCAATTGGCCCGAAGTCATGGCTGTTTGAAAAGTTTTTCTAATTATTTTTCTCTCTAATCTTTTATCGCATAATTTGTGTGAAATATTTTTATTTTTACTTTTCATTTTCAATTGTTATCGTAAATATCATGGAGAATATATTATTAGTAAAAGTAAAATCCATTTATATTTATTAATTAATGGCTTATCAGATCATGGTATTTATCAATTTAAACCCAATTTTTCCATTACTATTATTATGGTTAATATTAATGTAATATTAGATTTAATATAAATTTCATTTTTAAAAAAAGTTTTCAATTGAATGAAACATTAAATAAAGAATAATGATATGGAAAACATTGAAATTTTGTGAATCATAATGAAAAATGGTATTAGTTTATGGGAAGTACTGTCAACCACTCCTAAAATGTTTGTTTTGATTTGTTTATAATGTATTCAAATTGTTATGCAATTATTTATTGTACAATAAAGGGTTCGCTCGTTCCCCTTATACCCAAGGTTGCCTTAATTTTATATTAGTATTTATTAATAATCATTTCTACTTTTTAGATCATTTATTATAATGCACTAAATCTATATTCATTTATTATAAATTAACTTATTTTCAAAATGTATGCTAGAAATCACAGAATATGTTTTCCTATTATCTAGTTTAAAAATTCAGACTTTTAAATATATATTTTATTAATTTGCAATATAATGTAAATTAAATTTTGTCATTTAAGTAAACAAAATATCTAGTATGTCATTCCCTACACCAATTATTATAATTATTAAAATGAATATTAAAAGTTTAACAAGAATAATTAAAAATAGTTTTCATTAAATTCATATTTGATTGAACGGATTTTATATTAATTCTTATCAAAAAAAATTATAACTTCTTTATATTTTACTTTAATATATTATTACTCGTACTAAAAATTAATTTAATAGTTTAGTCTATAATTTGTAAATTAGCAAAAGTTTTATTACAATTTAGACACAATGCTTAACAACATGTGCCATTCACAACAACAGGTACCGCCACATAACACAGCATTTTTGAACAGATTCTGAATTCATTGCAGAATTCAATTTTTGAAGATTTATTACACAACCAGGTCATCCATTTGGTTGCTTTAATTATTAGCAAGTATATGCATTATTATAAAATAATATAATAATAAAATTAGATCTGTTTGATTGACTACAAAAGCTTAATGTTAAGCACATTATTATCTTAGTCGTGTCCTTATAATAAAATTAAATATCCAATAATGAGATTTCATAAATAACTATAAATCCCATAATTATCCACATTAGTTTAGTTTAGATATTCATTTATTTCCCAAAAATCATTTAAAATGTAAGAACTTTATCGACTTTATATTAGTTTAAAGGAAACTTTATAATAGTATATTGATCTGAATGAATACATTAAGCATTAAATGTTGTGAAAAGGCAACGCAAACATAACATTATAGCCACGGAATTGTCATTTATATACAACTCGTATAAGTGTTTCAAAAACGACATTCAATTTTCTCAACCATTGAATAAGTAATTAAGACATGGATTT